AACATTTTAAGTTTATCTGGTATTTTTTTTTTAAAAACCTTCTATTTTTTTCTTATTATTAATCGATTTCGATGTTTTCTAAAACTAGGGTTTCCTCTTAAGTTCTCTGCAAAAAGGTTCTAAAGTTTCTAAGTGTTTGAATCTGATTATCTTTACTGGTTCTACTGATTTTACATGCCTATGTTATAATCTCTTGTTTGTTTAATTATTTCACCGTTCGCCCGTTATTTTCAACTCTGTCAATTAGAAGAGAATAATTGATTTTATTAGGGTTCAAATTCTTTTTCTGCCGAGATTGATAATTCTCTGTGATTTTTACCTATTTTCCTTATTTGTGACTTCTAATTGGCACTACTTGCCTTAATTATTTTACTAAGCTTAATTTATGGGAGTTGATTGTTTTACCAACCCCTAGATGGTCTCTAATTTACCTGTTTACCTTATTTATGTGACTAATTATCCTTACTACTGCCCGATTTTCGCGTTCTGACGTTTAATTGACTGCTAGACCTATTATTTACCTTATTTAGACCTCAATTCCGTGTTATTTTAAGCAATACCTCCATGACTCTGCCTGGATTGATCCTGTTAAGCCCTAATTGATTGATTGATTTTATTCGTATACCTTATTTGTGAACTCTGAATTATTCTTTGCCTTATTTGTTTCACCCTGCTAAGTGCTATATAATTCACCCATTCTGACTTCTTTAACACAAAAACACACATAGAAAGACACACAAGCACACACAAACTCTTGCTCTTACACATTCCATTGCAATTCTTTCTGTTACTTGTGTTTGTTGCACTGTCTAGCCGGCTGAAAGCCACGGCTAGACTCTTGGATCCTATTTGCTTCACTTTCCTGTTGCTATCTCTTAACTGGTATGTCTCCACTTCTGCTATCATTTAATATGCTATGTGATTAGACCTATGTTCCTCCTATTTACTACTTCTAAACAGCATGTCTACCTTTGTTATCATGTCTATCTGCTGTAGATATCAACATGCCTCTGTTTTCCCGTATGTTTCTGTTAACTAGCATGATTTAACTCTTGAATTTGTCTTGTCCAATATATCAATATGGTTCATACACTTTAGCATGTTCCTGTTTGATCTAGGATACTTGTCTACTTGTTTCTCAACTAGCATGTCTTCTTCCCGGCTTTATGTATCTACCTTAACAGGTTCCAGATTAATTCATGATTTCTATGCTCCCAACTTTTGCTGCCTTTTCTGTATGACTGTCTGATCAGTAACTTGATCCCAACATATTGTTCTCTGTTTAATATATGCCTATATGCTCACCCAGTAATGGCTAATGAACTAAGTCAATACCAGGCAATGTGAAACCTTGTTTGAACTGATTGTGACTCTGTTTGACTACTGGAGTTCATGTCTGAACTCCATCTGCTAAATATGTTCTGCTTGTAGTTCTTATAGTCTGGTAATCTATTTCTATTCACTTCTAAAGTCCAAACTGTTTCTTTTTTCAAAAACTACCTCCTACTGCATATAGTATTTTCATCTCTTAGTTGTCTAGGGTCCTGCCACCGCTGTGTGAGCACTGCTTTGGGTCCAGGAGACTCCTCTGATCTCTGACACATTGGGGTTGGTTCTCCAATTCTTTGTGAATTTTGTTGAACATCTGATTCTGGTGTGAGCATTGCCCGAGGTCCCTGAGGCCCTTGGAACCTTTGACACACCAGGAACTAGTTTTATGTGTTATGGATGGGCTACCACTATGTTCAGAGATACTATGTTTGGAAGGCCTGTGTTCCCAGGTTGATATTGGGCCTATGAAGGCTCCATATAGTATAATGGTTCTTCCATTGTGTAATTTATTCATATTGGTATGTAATAATAATCTTTGTAAAAACAGATATTGGGGTTATTAGTAAAGCTGGGAGGGATTTTTATATATCTTCGTTGGAATCGGGTAGAAATCATGCCTATAGGATTGTTGTGATAGGCATTAGAAACCATGCCTATAGGCCTTATCTTCATATTTGTCCTGAATTTCCGCTGCACATCCTAAAAATCCTGTTGTAGGACATTTATCAATTCTGTATCAAAATTTATGTTCATGCATATTCTCAAGTTTCAATGTGCATTAGAAACCATGCCTATAGAATCTTTTGGAATTATCAACTCATATAATATTCTGCTCACTTAGATACCATGTCCATAGGAAATTATATTTAAAATCAGTTTTGACAACTTAGACATCATGCATATAGGAAATAAGTGTAAAAATAGCTTCAACACTTAGATATCATGTTTATAGGAAACGTGTATAAAATCAGTTTCTATGCCGTGAAATAATGCTTGTAATCAGTTTCAGCACCTAGAAAGCATGCCTATAGGGTCCAAAAGATAAAAAAAAGTCCGCCTGTTTAAATTAATCACTAGTTTATAAAATTATGGTCTGATTACCGTTTAGATACCATGTCTATAGGGTTCTGCCTGTCATCACTTAGGCGAGCCTGTAGGACAATCAAATCCTGGGTTTAAAATTGTGATTTTCTTGCTGCTTGAAACGTGCTCAGATTCAAAAAGTGATAAAAAATCAGTAGGCAAACTGAAAGGTACTCACTGCCTCGCCTAAATAAAACTATTGTATATTCTGTTATTACTCATTTAGATATTCTGCCTATAGGACTCCTAAAATTATAAAAACTGCTTGTTTGAATGGAGTGCACTTGTTTTCTCTATTTGTGGAGGTAAATATGAGCCCCCATTAATTGCTCTTTATGTGACAGTCCTACCTATTTTTGTTTGTCGCTTAGTTTTCTCCTTTTAAGCATCATAGGTGAGTCTAGAACCACCTTAAATAGAGGTCCTAACATCTCCAGGGCCACAGGTAAGGGACGGGTAGGGTACGTACTGGATGTTGTTAGAACGCATAGGTAATAATCAAAGGGGAAGGGTAATTGGGTAGTAAAAGGAAATGATCACCTGTGCGCTAATGCTAGGTGTAGCACCCCAGCTTGGGGACGATTACCAAGTGTTGTACAGAAGTGATCCTATAGGCTAAAAAACCTAGGACCCCTTTTACTCCTTATTTTAAAAGTAATATCTGTTTAGTTATTTGCTTTAAGACTAATTCGCTTAAATTGAATTTAGCTGGGACCCGCCGTTGTGGACCTCGAGGGGTGCCTAACACCTTCCCCTCAAGGTAATTTCGAGCCCTTACCCAATCTCTGGTGATGTAAGCTAGTACACGAGTTATTTGTTCTAGGTGCCCTAACGCACCTTAATCTGTGAGGTGGCGCAATTCCCAAAAGGAAATTTGTCCCCAAAATGTCGAAACCCGGACTCGGCGAGGAAAAAGGGGGCGCGACAGGTGGATGTACTTCATGAAATTCCAAAGTATGCTAAATACATAAAAGATATAATGGCTCACAAGAGGAGATTGACTGAATTCGAGACAGTTGCACTTACTGAGGAGTGCACTTCAAGGGTCCAAAACAAGCTTCCTCAAAAGCTTAAGGATCCTGGCAGCTTCACCATCCATGTGCGAATTGGTAATATTGATGTGGGTCGTGCTCTTTGTGACTTGGGAGCGAGCATAAATTTGATGCCCTTGTCCTTGTTCAAAAAATTGGGTCTGGGAGCTCCAAGACCAATTACTGTGATGTTGCAGCTAGCTGATAGGTCCATAGTATACCCTGAGGGAGTGATTGAAGATGTGTTGCTGCAAATTAGGAAATTCATCTTCCCTGTAGACTTCATTATCCTAGATGATGAGGCTGATGAACTGGTTCGAATCATATTGGGACGACCTCTCTTGGCTACTGGTGATGCAATTATTAAAGTGAGATAGGGGAAAATGATTTTGAGGGTGGATGACGAGGAAGAAGTCTTTAATGTCTACAAGGCAATCCAACTTCCCCGCCACTTTGAGGAGCTCTCTATGATATCTCTTGTGAAGTGGATGAGCAACTTATTGACACGAGTGTATATCTAGACGATTCTCTAGAGAAAGCACTCATGTTGTTTCATAGCTTGGATATTGATGATGAGGTTGAGGAGATGATGCATATCCTTGATGCATCCTGTGCTTACATACATGGAATACACCCCTTTGATCCCCTGAATAGGCCAAGTGGGCCTCCTCCAAAGCCATCGATTGAAGAAGCTCCAAAATTGGATCATAAACCCCTGCCCCCTCACCTTCAATATGCTTATTTGGTTGGTTCTGACACTTTACCTGTTATTATTTCTTCTGACTTGTTTAAATTGCATGAAGAAAAGATGTTAAGAGTGCTACGTGACCACAAGAAAGCAATTGGGTGGACGATGTCTGACATTAGAGGCTTTGGTCTAGCTTTTTGCATGTACAAAATCCTCATGGAGGATGGACACAAGCCAAGCTAGAGCAACAACGGCGCCTAAATCCAATCATGAAAGAGGTGGTAAGAAAAGAAGTGATTAAGTGGCTTGATGCAGGTATTATATTTCCAATCTCTGATAGCAAATGGGTAAGCCCCGTCTAATGTGTGCCTAAGAAATGGGGGATAACTGTAGTGGTTAATGAAAATAATGACTTGATTCCAACAAGAACTGTCATTGGGTGGAGAATTTGCATAGATCATAGAAAATTAAACTATGCCTCCCGAAAGGACTACTTTTCCCTCCCCTTTATTGACCAAATGCTTAATCGATTAGCTGGCCAGGAATACAACTGTTTCCTTGATGGTTATTCGGGGTATAATCAGATTTCCATAGCCCTAGAGTACCAAGAGAAAACCACATTTACGTGTCCATATGGCACGTATGCGTTCAATAGAATGCCCTGTGGTCTCTGTAATGCACCTGCGACTTTTCAAAGGTGTATGATAGATATTTATACTGATATGGTTGAAAGATTTGTAGAAGTGTTCATGGATGATTTTTCTTTGTTTGGTTTCTCTTTTGATAATTGTTTAACGAACCTTGATAAAGTGCTTGCTAGGTATGAAGAGACAAACTTGGTACTAAATTGGGAAAAGTGTCATTTTATGGTACGTGAAGGTATAGTCTTGGGGCACAAGGTGTCCATAAATGGTTTTCAGGTGGATAAAACAAAGGTGGATGCGATTGAAAAATTGCCCCCACTGACATCCGTCAAGGGCATTCGCACTTTCTTGGGCCATGCAGGTTTTTATCGTCGTTTCATTAAATATATTTCGAAAATTTCTTCTCCTTTGTGCAAGCTTCTTGATAAAGATATCCCCTTCAAGTTTGATGATGCCTGTTTGAAAGCATTTGAGGATCTGAAGGGAAGGTTGGTGACTACACCAACTATCATTGCCCCAGATTGGGCGCAGCCATTTGAGTTGATGTGCGATGCAAGTGACATAGCAATCAGAGTTGTTTTGGGGCAAAGGAGGGATAAAATATTTCACTCCATTTATTATGCGAGCAAAACTCTAAATCCAGCCCAGATGAACTACACAGTTACTGAAAAAGAGTTACTTGCAGTGTTGTGGGCGTTTGACAAGTTCAGAACCTATCTAGTAGGAACAAAAGTAATCGTCTACATAGATCATTCAGCTATCAGATACTTGTTTGAAAAGAAAGATGCCAAACCGAGGCTGATTCGTTGGGACCTGCTCTTGCAAGAATTTGACTTAGAAATCCTAGATCGAAAAGGGACAGAGAATCAAGTGGCTGATCACTTGTCTAGACTAGAAAATTGGAGCAATATAGCTAAAGGGGGGTCTATCAAAGAAACATTTCCTGATGAGCAGCTATTAGCAATCACCTCAAATGAAGCCTCGTGGTATGCAAATTATGTGAATTTTATTGCAAGTGGGGTGACACCACCAGAATTGACGCCCGATAATAGAAGAAGGTTCCTACATGATGTGAGGCTCTACCTGTGGGATGAGCCATTCCTATATAGGCAGTGCGCAGATCAGTTGGTACGAAGATGTGTCCCTGAGGAAGAGATGAATGCAATACTGCATGACTGTCATGCTTCGCCATATGGAGGTCATCACAGTGGGGATGAAACCGCCCAAAAAGTGCTACAATCAGGTTTTTATTGGCTAAAACTGTTTAAGGATGCATATGCCTTTGTTAAAAAGTGTGACAGATTCCAAAGAACCGGAACAATCATGAAGAAGCACGAGATGGCTCTACAAAACATTCTAGCAGTAGAGCTTTTTGATATTTGGGGGATTGATTTCATGGGACTGATCCCATACTCTAATGGTCACAGGTACATCTTAGTGGTGGTCGACTATGTTTCTAAGTGGGTGGAGGCCATTGCTCTTCCTACTAATGACACAAAGGTAGTGGTAAGCTTTGTAAAGAAGCACATCTTCACATGCTTTGGGACTCAAAGAGTGTTGATAAGTGACGGAGGAACTCACTTCTGTAACAAATTGCTGAATAATGTTCTTGCAAAGTATGGAGTTAAGCACAAGGTTTCCATTGCCTATCACCCCAAAACGAGTGGTCAAGTAGAAGTTTCAAACGGAGAGGTAAAGCAGATTCTGGAGAAAACGGTAAGTGGAAATAGAAAGGACTGGGCCGGGAAGCTGCGCGACGCATTATGGGCATATCGAACTGCATATAAGACTCCCATAGGTACTTCTCCGTATAAGTTAGTTTATCGGAAGGTGTGCCACTTACCCGTTGAGCTTGAACATAAATCCTATTGGGCAATAAAAAGCTGAATATGAATATGGACTTAGCTCGTGAGAAGAGGTTGCTACAACTCAACGAGCTTGATGAGTTTCGATTGCACGCATATGAAAATGCCGAATTATATAAAGAAAAGACGAAGAGGTGGCATGACAAGCACATCCAACATCGAGAGTTTGAGCTGGGTCAAGAAGTTCTCTTGTTCAATTCGAGGTTGAAGCTTTTTCCCGTAAAGCTTAAGTCTCGTTGGGCAGGTCCTTTTGTTGTGGTAAGTGTGAGGCCTCATAGAGCTGTGGAACTACGTGATACAAGCTCAAGTGGTACCTTCTTGGTAAATGGACAGAGAATAAAGCATTATTAGGGTGGTGAGATTGCACGTCACAAGACCTCGGTGGACTTGGCTGATGCTTAAAAATGTGTTGAGTTAAATCAGGCGCTCGTTGGGAGGCAACCCAATTTTTATTGCTTTCGTAGTTTAGTTTTTGTTCTCTTCTACTTAGAGTAGACTAATTTTTTGTTTTCCTTGTAGTGCAAAAATCATAGGTGAGAATGGTGTGGGAGTGTGTAATGTATGTATTGAGTGCTCAGGTAGTCGGGATTTTATAAAAAAAAAACAAAAAAAAAACAAAAATTTGCAAAACGAGCGCCTAGGCTAGCACCCCACGCTGCCTGGGGCACAATTTCCAGTAGCTAAAGAAAACCCAACGCCGGCCCCAGCATGGGGCGCTGGGCTGGTGGATCAGGTAAGTAAATTTTTTTTTGTTTTCTTTGTTTAGTTAAAATACCAAAACCAAAATAACCCAACTCAGTTACCCATATATACACACTTCCTAACCCATACACAATTAACAAAACCCATCCCCCACCTAAATTAAAATTGCTAAAACCAAAAGCCCCCCACGCCTAAATTGTCGAGCTCTTCTTCTTCTTCAGCCTCTTTTCTCTGTTTCTCTCGAGCTCTCAAAAATCTTTGTTGCTCAATTTAATCTCAAGAATCAAAGGTATGTTCTTCTTGTTCTCTTTTCTTGTATTTTGGATTTTTTAATGTAATGTTAGCTTTCCTTATCCAACAATCCTCAATCCCCTAGGTCTCTTAAATATACTTTGATGTTTTTATGGGTGGCTTTATTGTACACGAAATTTGGTGCAAAATTTGGTTGTGAATTTTTGTTTGAAGTAGTAAACTATAGTTCCCTCTACTTCATGTAAATTTGGGAGGGCCACCTTGTTCCAGAAATAAAAGAAGCAAAATTGATGCCCATAAGGTGTTTGCTAAAATGCCTATGATAGTAAATTGAACACCGGTGAAGTCTGAGTAGCCGATGGTAGTTGTATATGAGGTTGGGCGAAGTGTGGGGTGTTTGAGGGCATTGTATTTTTTTGTAAACTCTTGTAAATTGTATTTAGTATACTAGATTATTGTAGTAATGTTGAATTTAGCTTTGCTTGCTTGCACCATAGTTAAGTTACGGCATTGTTAAGCTATTTGAATTGTATGGCATAGGGAAGTCTTGAGTACCTATAGCCTTGTGATGACACATTGGTGCATGTTGAACCAATATTGTAATTTTATTATACATAGCCTTCGGTTTTAAGTGTGGGGTCATCTTTGCCCCTCACGATGACCTTCGGCGAAATTTCGTAACTCACTCTCATCTTTGTGTTTATCGTGTGTAGGTTGCTATGGCTCGTGACAGTACCGCCAAAGGAAAAGGGGTAGGGAAGTCCTCTACTACTACAACCCCTCCCAAAAAATGCAAGCACGGTGACGGTTCTTCCCGTCAAGCTAAGGGAAAGCAAGTCGCTAGCGGGTCTACGAAGCAATCACGGCCTCGGGTGGAACTAGTGCGAGATGACGCCATCAAATGGCATGACACTTTTGTTCCATATGGGAGATATGTCTCCGAAATGGGGATTAATGTAAAGGCCATAGAACGGAACTTTCCAAATGTACTTGCTAGATTGGTAGAAAAAAGATGGATAAGCTCCTCGAATGTCCAGGCCTTGCAAATCTAAGCATGGTAAGAGAGTTTTTATGCCAACTGGAACGCGAAAAAGGACGAGTCATGGGTCAGAGAAAATTAAATTCCAATGGATAGGGAAGCCTTTTGTCGCTTTTTGGGAGTTGATACCCCTAACCCACGAAGGCTTCGAATGTTTGTCAAAAGTCCACGCTCCAGGCAATACGTCACACACTTTGTGGCATTGTTTCTAATACGAAGTGGATGCAGACTAATGGAAATATTCACCTTGAAATGCTCTGGTTCGACTTTAACAAGACGGCTAAGGTTTGGCAGAACTTTGTGTAGGCTAGATTAATGCTCGTTGAGCATAACAGCGAGTGCGCTTGAGCTCGAGTGTGCGTGATCTACTTTCTGATGATCGGGTGCCCCATAAATGTGGGTGAGCTCATGCTTGGGGAGATGGTCTGCACCCGTTTTGGATGGAGGATCAAAAGGTTCTTCTTTGGGAACTTCCTGACGCAGTACATGCTATCCCGTGAGGTACCGGAGTACCCTGGCTATGATGAGGTAGTGGAGGCACCCAAGGCATTGCTAGACATCACATCCTTGCTAGAGTCCACATCAAAGCTTACCCAGACTGCTAGTAATGAGAGGGACTAAAATTTCAACATGTATCTTTATAATTCTCTCAATGTTATAATGATCAGGCTAGGGGTGTCAAATGAGGAGCACACGCAATTGCAAAGTGATCTCTCCAGTTCTTCCAAGGAGATGTTGGGCATAGCACCAGGCAGTCCCATTCATCCGTCTGAGGATGAAAACACTGACAAGGGATCTGATAATGAGGATGCGGATGATGATGATGTTACAAGACCAATGGCTTTGGTACCCTTAGGTGATGATGATGAGCCCAGAGCCGCAGCTGGTGGACATATTGAGGAGGCAGACTCCAACTAGCAGGGAGTTCTTTCTTCCACCTTACTCTGTTTTGAATTCTTTATGCATCGGGGACTATGCATTGCTTAAGTGTGGGGTAGGTGAATACTCCTTGAATTGTAATTGTATTAATTTTTTTTAGTGTTATTGTTTTGTTTTTTAATCACCTTTTAGCTTAGTTTAAGACTAACGTAGTCTAATTAGCTAGATTACATAAAAAACGTGGACTTTTCCTGACGATGGATCTGGTGGAAAATTTTCTTGAGGGATTAAAGTCCTATTAAAAAAATACCAAAACGATTTTCTTTTGTTTTTTAGGATAGTTAGGTAGTATCCCTTGGTTTTTTGGACGCCGGTTCTTTTTCAAGGGTGTAGCTCGAACCGGGTGTTTTATTTTATGCTTTTTAGGAGTAGGATAAGGGAGAAAACTGAGGTGCTTGGAGGTACCTATTGACATGTTTGGTGTTAGAAAGTTAATTAAGTTATTGCATGCGCTCTGTCTTCCTGAATATTTGATGTGAATTGTAATGCCCAAGTAAATTAAGTAGCCTACTCTTTGATGACTTTTTCTCAGTTGGTTGACTTGTGTGCCACCTAGTGCATTGTTGCTTAAAAAATTTCAACTTGCTATGCTTGCTTGACTTGAGAGTCGCACCGAACCGTTTTGAGTGAGTCAAGTGCCATGTGTGTGTAAGGATTGTCGATATTCTGTACTATCCTGTGTAGTCTAGAACTTGCCCCATGTGTTAATCAACGCAAAATCATTAAGTTGTGCTAGTCTTGGAGATGACGTAGGCGTTTCTTGCTTGACTATAAAAATGCTTGTCACTGACAAATATAATTTTCCCGTTGCTAGCCCTTTTGATCCTATAGACCGTTTCCTTGGCACCCACATTACAAGTTGTACTCCTACTTTGTTCTTAATTCGAGATTGTTGAACCTTTACCTCCTAAGACACTTAGTCGCTAAAAGAAGTAAGGGGAGTGATTGGGGAGTGACTTTTGAGTGGAACCATGGAAGGGCTCTTAAGGTGCACTAAAATTGTGAAAGAAGGTCACTAGCTTATGAACTTCAATGTATGGAGTGTGTGAAGAAAAAGAAAAAGAAAGGAAAGAACAAAAAAAAGGAAAAATTTTGCAAGAAAAAGCAAATAAAAGTTCAAATAATATAGAAAGACACACCTCCTAATCCTTCTAACTCATCTATTGAAACCATGGAGGTGCTTAATTGAAAAGAGGGCTATGTTATATATGGTGTGTGACAAGTGAATGGGTTGAAAAGAAAATGCGCTTGATTTGGTGAGTTAGTGTACTAAAGTGCTTAGGAGGGTTAGTCACTATACCTAAATGTATCCTACCCATCCCTTAGCCTACATTACAACCTTAAAGTCCTAATTGATCCTAGATTCGGCTAGCTTAGATTAGTAGAGATGTACACTACGGGCAAGCTTATGGTACGACCATGGGATGCACATGATTTCTTTGTGAGAGTGAGTGAATTTTGTTCAATTGTGTGATGTCCTTAATTTATGGTCAGTGTGATATTTGAATGTATGGACTACTTCTATATTCACTCTTATTTGTGGTGAGGGCACTTGGTCTCATGACGGATTGGTGATGTAGTACACTTTCTTTTGCTGGGTGAGTGCGTGAGTTGAGGATGCTTAGTGGTAACGAGTCGTCTCTTAAGGTAAGGTGGTTGTGGAGAGCTTGCTGAGTTGGTTGAATAATATTGAGTATACATGGGCTAGTTTAAAAACGGAAAGAACGTGAAATTTGTGTGTTCATGCTTACTTGCCGATATCGATCATAGTCCAAAGGTAGGGCGTTTGGTTGAATTAATTGTAAAGTGCTCTTTCATAGTGATAAGTACATTTTGGGGTGTTAATATAGTTCCATTGCTCGAGGACGAGCAAGAGTCTAAGTGTAGGGTGTTGATAATTGGCTTAATGTATGCATATTTTGGTATATATTGCCTCACATTTTGCTCGATGTCTCGAAGATTTAAGATGTATAATATGATGAATTGTGCTAATTTGTTGTATTTCTATGTGTAGGAATCATTCGGATGTAATTTGGGACGAAATGGCGCAAATTGGAGCGAAATTGGGAAGAAAAGGCGAAAAATGAAATTTGAGGGCCACAGGCAGCGGGGCGCTACCTGTGACGCAATTCACAGAAGCTTGAAATTTTGGGCGCCAGGGGCAGCGCCCCACGCTGCTCGAGACATGAAGTTGTCCTGTTCCGACTAGGACTCGGTTATTTAGACCCCAAGATGTCCCCAACTCATATAAAAGCCAACCTAAACCTATTTTGGAGGGGGGGGGGGGGAATGACTTTGAGAGAGGAACAAAAGTACGAAACACTCGGGAGCACGGATTTGATCAATTTTTCCTTTCTACTTCTAGTATTCATTGATTTTATGTTTGAAAACATTATTTTTGATGATTGTATGAACATGAGTGGCTAAGAACCCTATTGTTCAGGGGTCATGGGTGCTACATGAATGTTAATGTTTGAAGTTTAAATTGACGAATTTGGTTTATCATATTGGGTTGTTTATTTAATTCTGTTTTTAATTATTTTGCTGAGTAGCTAACAGTGAAATACTATCTACGAATCTAGAGTTGAACTCGAAAGTGGGAATTCTAGATTGCATATAGAATCAAATAGAGCAGGTTCTTGAACCCGGGCATCGGGGAATGGATTCGTAATTAGGATAGACATATACCTAATTTCCTTGCTTGGTCGAAATACGGGAAATGTAAATGCATTCTTATTAATCTTAATTCCATAGACATATAGGCACTAAGTTAGCTTGAATAGGCGAGTAAGAGCTCGATAGATTCTTATGAGTAACATCAACCCTGTCAATCAACAATCCAGTCAGATCAACTAGTCATTTTAAGCCAAAAACACAACACCATTATTAGCTAGCCTGTGACCCTGGAGTATCCTCTCCTACTGATTGTTATCCGAAATTGCCTAATTGTTTTGGTTGATTTCTATTTAATTCATTGCTTGATAGTGTTAGGTAGTAAATTAGTCAGTTATACATTTTGTGGGAAATATCCTGAATCGAACAGTTATTTGAGTTTGAATCAGTCAATAGTTAATCATAAGTCTACGTGGGAACGGTACTCTACTCGCTACTCTATTACTTGATGATCACGTATACTTGCGTGAGTGTTTTTGGTCGCAACGATAGTCATACGAATCAAAGGCCCCACAAAAGCTTTTACTCTTTCATCTATCCAAGTTCCCAAAAAAGAATCTCAATGCGAAGTCAAACTACGTCACATAAATTAAAACGGATGGAGTACTCTCTTTATTCTATTTTATGTGATATACTTTTCTTTTAATATGTTATCAAAATAGTGACATCTTTTTATTTTATTTTATTCTTGATGAACTAATTTATAGCTACACAAATTTAATCGTTTGGTTTAGATCATTATTCTAATTTCTTTCAAATTTCATATCTGGTCAAACATTTTCAATGAAATAGAGAGTCCGGAACCAAAATGTTGTTATTTTGGACTCAAAAGACACAAATAAGTGTAAAAAAAAAGGTGACCATAATATATATAACGCCAGAAAACCTGGCGCTATATAATAACGGTAACTGCACTGTTAATATATAGTGCCAGATTTTCTGGCGTTATATACTGACACAGTGATATAGCGCCAGAAAACCTGGCGTTATACCCCTTAATAAAAAAACCCTCCATCTTCTTCACCCGTCGCCTTCCTTCTTCAAATATTTTACTCCCACCCTTGGTCCCCCCACTGTAAACTGTCTGCCAATATTAAAAAAAAAAAATTGGGTCCCCCCGGGCACATAAAACTTGAAGATCGTAGGTCCCACACTCGAGTAGAGCTTCTTGTTATTGTTGGTTAACGCTTTCGGAGTCAAAATTTCGATCTATTTGATTTCCGAAAATTCTAAATCGAGGTATTTCGATTTATTTTAAGTTGAAACTTTTATAATAATGCATATTATTTGATTTGTATGTGTTCTATTTCGGTTTGTGTTTTTTTTTCGAAATTAGCATCTTAAATTTATCCGGATTTAATTTTACTGTTTTATATATAAATATAAATTTGTCAAATAAAT